CATCGGCAACTTCAACTTCCACATCATTCTTATCTCATTCTTATTAGTATCTCCATCATAATCATTACAACTATTCGTATAAAGGTCGATTTTATTATTATTCATCTTCACTATCTTCCACTATAACTCCAGCTCCGTCATTCGAATCTTATTATTGTTAATGCTATTACTCATTTTTATTATCATCGTCGTTTTTTTCATGCGTACTTTCAAATTCTCCATTATCAACATCATTATCATCAGCAGTGCCAAAGATCTTGGAAACCGGGTCGTGAACATTAGGTAGGATTCACATCTACTGACATCCTCCAGTGCGTCATACTTTGTGGTTGGATCGCCGATTCGACAACCTCACTGGAAGTAACTTCATTTGTTTTATTATACCCCGGCGCATTCATCGCTTGTCCAAAATGGTACCTCCACCTCAGAGGCCTCAGAGACCCGCTCCCCCAGTTTTATCTTTTCCTACCCTCACAGTCTCCGGGGTCCCAGCGTCCGGCTACTTTTTCATCCGCCTCATTCGACCACTTCCATTTCGAGCATAACCTTCCCACTGTTCTTACACACCATCCCTCTCCTCAACCAGTTCCATTCACGAGCGTCCGCTTCATTCTCTTCTGCCGGAGAAGATGAGTTGGTAGATTCCATTGTCGGGTGTGATTTCTTAGTCCGTCCAAATCAGGCAATTCGTGTACCGGCAGCCAGAACAAAGCCTGCCTCCAGTCCCAGCGGTAGCATTCAAGAGAACCTGTAGCTGGTCTAGAGCCTGATCTACACATCATGATTAGCATTTATGTGATAAATCTTCTCTGTCTGCCAAGGGTATGTTTTTCAAAGTCGCCCTGAAAATGTTGCCAAGTTGCGAAAACAAATTCTAACCGCATTTGTATTATGAAAGGGAATTCTGACTAAACGCACAACCATACTATCTTAACTCTCATATGTACGCAGGGCTTGATCGTTGAGTTCCCACACGTAAATTAGTGGGAGGCCTCACAATGTCACGGAAATGCAACCAGTCTTGCCTCCGAAAAGGACGAAACTGTATTTTCATCATCATAAACATCATTATCAGTCTTATCTTCACCCTCATTATCCTCCTCTATCTCATCACTATCAACAATTAGATAATAAAAAAAAATTAAAATAATAATCATAATCATCATCGTGAGAATCCATACAGAACGTGTTGTCACGAATGGGATCCAGTAGGTCACAGGTCGGGTGTGATACCAAGGCAAACCATCATCTCCCAAATTGCATTTGAATTTGGACTACTTTCGACAAGGCAATATTATTTTTTTCTATTACACTCGTCTATGCTACTCATGAGTATGTGTCAAGACTGTAAGTAGATGTAAGCTAATAACTAATTGATCGAAACACTTTTCCGCCATTTCTTTTGACACATATTTTCCCATTCAGACCTTCCTCAGTCATGACCAGTCGAGGGTGGAGATTGGTCGCGTTGAAATCGCCCTGAACACCGGCGCCATCGTCGAACTTCACCTGAGTCAGGTAAAACTGCATTACTTCTTCCCATGATTGGGACATAAAGACTCGTATTTTTCGTGTTTAAGTTGAGTTTCAAGACTACCAGTAAATCAGTAGTATGAGATGTATTCACCCAATTTTGTTTAAGCTGATGAAGGACTGGTATTCGAATTTTCTCACAATGACCTGATGTTTCCATGCAATTTCACATATCATTTCTTTCCCCAAAGTTGTTCTCATTCAGGCAGTTTCAATCTCGCATCGGAAGGAATGGTAGTTGAATTTTCCCACAATCACATCATAATTTGAGTAATCTTATCTTCTAAGAGTCTGCAAAGCCTACTTACAAACCCAAAATAAGTAATGTAGTCAGTTGTTGCCTCAAACATAATTTTGCTTCGTCGATAATCTCACTACAGCATGTGATATGAAAAGTGGCCTGACCTTGGTTGAAATTCACACCTGCCCTGCCATCCAAGGGCACTCGTGGCAATCTGGTCGAGTTCACCGGCCTCGCAAGCACGGTTCGAGTCCCGCGGGAGGAGCTGATGAGACCAATTGAGTCCACATCCGACTGCAGCCTACAATTGGCTGAGACGAATGTCTTATGGGAAAGCAGGCAAGTGTGAAATTCAGAAGAATCGTGAAATGAGATTGTGACAAAATTCGAGCACCAGTCCTTCATCACATTTCATATGATCCTCCTTCGATTCCTGCTAACACCGATTCGTCAATTCCGTCCATTCTGGTTTATTCACACTTTTTATCACACTTTTCTCTGTTTGTGTGTGTGTGTGTGTGTGTTTAGGCGAAAACCTTTGCATTTATCGTGGAACGATGCAGGAAAGTGACAAAGTTGCGGCATTAGCCTCGGTCGTCTGGCCGACTACTTCTGACTTGCCGAACCGACGAGAACACGCTTTCACCGCCTCCGCTTTGGCCGACGAGGCCAGCTTGAGACTCCCACCTTCTCTTCGCAACCACAACCACACCCACACCCTCACACCAACGCCAAGTTGCCTACTCGTCTTTCATGCTGCACTCCACACTCTGAACTCGGCTTCTTCCATCTCCAACTTAACTCCAACGTAGCCAAGATCCCTTTTCATATCTGCCCCCCACAAGCCTCGTACTTGCTTTTGCCTGTCCCACTACTACTTTTGTTGGCTTGCATATGTGTGCATATATTCATACACACACACACACACACACA